ATATATATTTGTACGAGCCACTTTATGGATGATAGCTTTCTGAACAAAAGTGAATTTAACAGTACACTAATAACAAGATTATCATTAAATGGCAATGCAATTCCATCACTCAGGAATAGTAAGCTGAAAGACAACTTGTGTTATTTTGTTTGGTTATTTGGTCTATCTGTGATCTATGGTTAGCATCCATAACTTATATTACGATCCATGTTTTTTAGTTGGCTTACACCCCATTTTAGTAATTATTAAATTAGCTTATTAACATTGATGTGTGTGCATGACCGGGAGATACCTTACCAAGTTGAAATGTTGCCTCTGTACTTGCTTCAGTTCTTCATAAAACATACTTTCCGGTCCAACGTGGGATCATTCAAGTAAGGTTCAACTGTATCCTGAGTTGCTATTTTCCAAAACCGATACTGTATAATGCTGCTGCTATTTTTCATTAATATTACAACAAAATACGGCGCTTCTAAGCCAGGTTGTAAATGGCATGAAGCACTGTTATGATGACGAGCAGAAATGGGCATGACAGAAGTGGTAGGAGGTCCTTAAAGAGACAGAGGCCAATTTCAAGCCTTTTAGAAACAGCTATGGTGCGAAGTCAAATAATTTTTGATTTATATAAATTGACAGCATTTTCATAACAACTTCAGGTGACGTAGTTACTTTATTTTGGTATTGAATTGAACTTTATGCCTAAGAAACACATAATACTGGCTCTTTAAAATAATAAATTGAAGGTGGGAAGTAGCATAAAAACAGCAAATGTGCAAACCATGCTATTTAGAGAACTTTAGATGAAATACGGAGAAAAAGTTTAAGACAGCAAAAAGAGACTAAGCAGAGTACAACCACATGTTGAATTTTGTTTAAACAACATAAAAGTGACTCATTAAAACTGCAGGAAAACAAACAAACAACAACAAAACAAGTCTCATATAGGGCCATTAACACAAGGTGCTAAATGTTAAAAATAAATTTAAGAAGACTTGCTAGAGGCTGGATATTAGATTTTATAAGGTGAAAAAAATGAACTCGTCATTTAGAGAATATTTGCACTGTTTATTTGTCAACACAGCATGGTGCTGGAACAGCTTGGACATTTTCCTTGAACGTGTTTGAAAAGTCAAACAAAGGTGATCTAAAAACCCTTAAAACTGCCTTTCTACTCAATTGAAAAACTAAATTTCACAGTTTAAGAACTATAAATATAGAAATATCTGTACCTTTTTCAATAAATAAAWAAAAAATCCATCCTTTAGAACGTTCATTTGCTGGATGGGTTTGTTTTCCATTAAAAACTGACATGTAGTTTTTCATAATGAAACCCAGGGGTTTATAAAAGCCTCTCTGCAAAGGTGTTCCAAAATTTCATGTACCTCATTTCTGCCAGAAACACGTACCACCAGGGATTTCACTGCAGCTGAATGTAGTGCTGCAGAGAATTCTCACAAGAATTATTGTTTTGATAAAATAAAACGCCGAGTTAAAAAGGACAAAAAAAGGAAGGTAAGACCGTTGAAGAGCGGAGATAGCTATCATGAAGATAATTAGTACTTTTTCATTAAAAACAGTCAGCGCTGTGACTGTTTGTGTGCAACGTGACAAATTGCGAAACTGATTTATACACACAAATTGTAACCCAGAAAACGATTTGTCATGGTTTTGCTGTTGACGCTTCTCGCCAAGACACATTTTCAGCTTGTGCTTCTTGTGCCCCTTCTTTTTTGCGATATAAAAGCTAAATAAATGCAAGCGTTTACTTTGTCATAAACATTATTTATTGATCCATGTTCGATTGAAATGCCTTCAATTATTAAATAACCTCTGTGGTATGAACTAAGTGTGTAGGCAGCCATTCATCTTCCATGTAGCTCTACGTTTCTGTAGCCTTGGCCCCTAACGGTGTATATGATGCACATTTAACAACCTCCTCCTTTTATCATCTTCAAAACTGCAGAGCACTTTGAGCTATCCAGGGACATTTACCTATATGCACAGACTCACCACGTGCTGTATGTGAGGAAAAATCAGCTGTCATGCTGTTGTGTCACATTGCTGTTTCATGTCTTGGTGATGAGACGCCTCTAGGTCTCAGATGTGAGTAATGATTTTTCTAATAATCTTCAGCTTGTTAGCTCAGCCGGCTTGGAAGCTGAACACCAAAGTGCCTACATCCTGTTTGATGTGTGGTTCATTGTGTACTCTCCACTAAAACTCAAACCTAAAGGCTGTCAGTTTCATTTTATTATTGCTTTGATCAATACTGRACAGATGGGTTTTTAAAAAGTGCCATATTTTTGTATCACATCCCATATTTTAAGGTAATTTCAATACCTGGATTAAAAATATATACATTTAAATATATATTGTTCAGACTTCTAGCTTTCTGCTTTCCATGAATATTATTGGAGTGTGGATGTCTTATTTTAAAAAGCTCTTAGTATAGATTCCCTTTGAGAAAATGAAAAAAGGACACAAAGAAAAAAAGAACAAGGCAGCAATGACAGAATCTCTCCTTTGAATGAATCAACATATTTCAGTTTACTTGTTATTGTTAATGACAGGAAAAAGGGATAATTGGAGTACACTTTCAAGCATTATAATAGGTTTAGACATGATGTACAAGAGGGTTGTTGGAAGGTTGACAGTTGCACATGCCTGCATCAGATGCGGGTGGGCCTCTGCAAATCAGCATCTCACTGTGATTTTCCACATTTGTGCTGCAAACTGACAGGGGCTAAGGGTAATCTACTTCTTCTATTTTGGAAAAGGCAGTGTCAGGAAACAGGAGGAAATTCTGATCTGTAGCTTTTTCTGACATGGATTGTAGATGGTCTATGTTGCGGATACCGCCATCTTTGCTTAACACAAAGCATCATGGTCCAGTTTTGGGACATCAGGTGCTGGTGTTTGAACTAAATGAAATGGAAAAATGAGTTGTGGAGATCACTGTGCTGTGTATTATTGTGCATATGTGCAACAATGATTGCTTATACATGAAAAAAATGGAATAATGAAAACGCAAAATTGTCAGCGCTAGGTCAAGTAGATCTAAATATGTTAATGTGCTTTATAGCAATCTTGGCCGCGTATCATATTTGTCAACTACAGATCATTTTGACCACTTAATTTTACAAATATAGCTATGCACTATCTTAAAATTGGAACACATCTATATACTGTAATGATGTTTATTTATTAACAATAACAAACACCATAGGCTACAGACCATAATAACAAATGCATTTACCACTATTAAAACAAGATGATTTTTAATTTATTTTTACTATGCAAAGATGGTTGTTATTCATAAACCAACAGTTACTGACATTGTAAACACAAAAACACTGAGCCAATGTCAGCATATTAGTAGTGAACACCAGTGCCTCGAACATTGACCCCTGTGGTACTTGAAAATCTCATCAATTGATTTTGTAGCTTGAACTGCAATAAACAGTTTGGAAGCTATTAAAACAATGCTATAAATCATAAATGATAACAGTATTTTTTTAGCATTGGATAAAAACAACAGTTTGGGGATTTCTTTGTAGTAAAGTAAGATAAGGAGGCCATTGTTTTTTTATTTTATTTTATTTTTTTATTTTTAAGCATTTATTCTGAAAAAGAGCGCAACTCTCTATATAAACATACAGTACATTATTTTATTTTATTATATCTATTTTTTTTTCAAATAAAAAGACCTGACACGATTGTGTTTTCCTTGAGGAGCCTAGTAGGAGAAACCATGTAAAATGTAGGAGGATGAGGTCATGCGGGACGCTGTGAGCTGTAACTATGGAAAGAAAATGTAATGAAAATGTAAAGGGAGCAGACTTAACAGGAGGGATAAAAACTCTGCAAGATTTAAAACAGATAAAAGTTCTGATGTGTTTTACTTTTATTTGTAAAACTAATGAAACATATTTCGTGCAGATTAGTGACAGATTTTAGCTCTAACCTTTGCTCTTTTTTCCTCTGCAGGGCTTTGGATCCATCTTCCTTGGCTGCCACTTTTTTTTCAACTCATCTGCCTGAGCCTGCAGTTCATCTTCATGTTGAGTCTTAATCACACRCAGCACATCAGATAGAGGTAGGCAAGGAATTTCTACCCCTGTATGAATTTTAAAGTGTGCTAAATGAGGCTGTAAAAATGGACTCTGTAGGAAACTGTGACACTGTTATACTATTTTAATTACATCTCAAAATTCATAAACACTTATTGCCAATTAACTGTTTAATGACCCCCTTTGGGAAATTAGCCAAGTATAAGATATTACATTATGCTTTCATAAATACACTCAGATGCATAATATACTCTTTCACTAACTAATGTCAAAGATGTAGATCATAGGGAATAGCCAAACCTCAGCAGATTTTGAAGGATCTTTTAGGATTATTTTTATCTAACCTCTGGAATTTAGTCATATAGAATGAATCATGTTTATTAAGTAGATCTTTGTTTGCACATACAGGAKCATACAAATAGCTGTTCACATGATTTACCTGCTATGATGTGTCAGACTTTTTCACTGACAAATTTAGACTCTGACTTTGGATGTGAATAATTTCATCAGAGACATATTCTTATTAGACAATAAAAAAAGCGTTTTATGCTCAAGAAAGGTGAGCATTCATGTCATTTGCCGTTGTGCATTTTTGTTTGACTGATTGCAAATTTATTATTTATTTTTTATCTTTAAAAACCTCTTTTATCTTGCTGCAAAATTAAAGTGTTTCCATTAATATGACGTTTTGGATGATTTTTTTGTTTGTTTGTTTGTTTTTAGTCTAACCATCCGAGTAAGAAATGCATGCACTAGTTTATATTGTATTTGGATGCATGAATACTGTAGGTGATGTAACCATTTCCGCATGGGGGAAGATTAAACAACTTCACAGCAGTTGTGATTATATTTATTTATTGCTTCTGTAATCCAAAGC